CAACACTCACCAGAAGCACCCAGAGGAAGGTTTCCCAGGGGAGCTCTGGGGGGGCCCACTGCCCCCCAGGAAACACAGGATGCTGTAGGGTTTGCACGTTTTAATGATGGTTTAGATGTGGATAGGGTCGCCAGAGTTCCACGAGCTCAGGCACCCGCCAGCCCCACACGCACATGCTGACGTGAGAGCAGCTGAGGACATGAACTGGAGCCCACGGGGCTTTTCAGCTCGGCAGCACTGCACGTACCCCACTGTCCTCCCAACACCAGGGGTTTCTGAGGGCTGCTGTAGCGGACACTGTCAATGAGACATGACGATGAATGGCACAGCACTGCTCTCCTGGGGGAGAGCTGCACATGGAGAACAAGAAATGCCGGGAGCAGGGACGTGCAAGCAGTCCTGAAGGGCGCTGGTCATGGCACGGCTGGGAAGCTGGGCCACCTGGATGAACTGGCTGTTGAGCCTTTCTTAGACTTCTCCGGCGTTTGCCAGGGGCTGTGGCCGGCCACCAGACTTCAGCAGAAGCACAATAGCTGTTGCATGGTAGTCACAACTAACCTGGTATGAGACAAGCCACGTAGAAGTTGACCTGAAACCCAGAGCCCAGCGGGACCAGGCCCTGTTGGAAAATGCAGCCAGAGCACCTGGGCCTGAAATCCTTCCTGGCTGACATGAAGGGATACAACTAAGACTAGAGACGTTCTGCAGTATGGTAGGTGTCTTCTGGAAACCCAGCACCATCCTTTGCAAAAGCTCAGGAAAGAGAGTAAGACCTTTTCTATTGACCTTTTAGCTGAAATAAGCTAGAAAACATTTATTGTTGTGTATTCCTAAAAAAAAAAAAAAACAAACCAAAACAAAACCCAAACAAAAGTCTCACAAGGGTTTGTGAGTAGCACTTGCAAGGTGCACCCACGGCTGCAATGCTCAGGCCTCAGCCATACCCAGTGCATCCTCTACTCCACCTCATAGCTCACGTTTTCGGCAAGAGCTTAGGCACTGTGCTCTCTGTCCTTTCTCATTCACCTCCTGTGCTTTACCTGGGGCAACACTGGTGGTACATACACACGATACCTGCTGTTTTCCTCCAGAGGCTGGTGCTTATTTCTGAAAAATTCAGCAAACAAGCCAATGATTAAAGCATCCCTGAATCACCATCTCCCCCACAGCCAGCTGAAAAGGCAGGGTATGCATAGCTGCGTTACCTGTGAGTTATAGCTCTTCCATCAAATTGAAGCCCCACTTTCAGCTAAGCAGCAAAAATAGCCAGCTGCTGATGTGCCACAAGGCAATCCGGGGTGAATTATCCCACTGCATCGGCAGGAATCTCACTGTGCAGTAAGGGAGTGATCCATTTTTTTTTTTTTAATTTCCCTTTTGAGGGGAAAAGAAGGATCCCCAGAAAAATTATCACTTCTCATTTCATTATGATGACAAAAATTTTCTTTCTCTTCTCACTCCGCACTCTGCTCTCCTCTGCCCTGGAGGCTGCAAGGAGTTACTACACTTTACCTGGCCTGCAGTGAAATTTTGACACCTACGTGCTAGGATAAGGTTAAAAAAACTCAACCAGTCCTTCCCTTCTCCCAGCTTATTACCCAGTGCTTCCCATCTCACCAACGGACGCATTCACGGTCCCTCTTCTCAACACCCCCAAGTCCTAAATCCAAAGACAGCACTCGGCGTCTTGCTGGAAGCGAAGCTACCTGCCAGCACTTGCAGCGCAGGGGAGCAAAGCTGCAGCCCCGTTTTCACACAGCTCCTGCTCCCTGTCACTTCCACACCCCCTGCAGATGTGGATCCATGCCACGCTTTAGGGTGGTGACAACTTCAGAGGCACCGGTGTGGCTCATTGGGAGGTGCCCTCTCCTCGATGCCTCCATGGGGTTTTGCTGAGCGCTCTGTTCCCTCCTGGATGCGAGTCGCCCTGGGTGAGATGGTGCCTCTTGTGGATTCACAGCATGTCAGCCACGAATGTCCGTCCCATGACAGCACAACCAAGACACATCACTCCAAGGAGGCTGGGGCACTTCAGTCCTGCCTACAGAAAGGTGCCAGGATTGTCTGCTGGCACCGAGACCTCTGAAACCTCCGTCACAAGCAGAGATGCTAGCGCTAGGATCTTCTGAGGGAGGCAGAAATCCCACTGCTTGATTCACTTCCTATTGCACGCACACAGCCAGAAGCTTGTAACTTCCACAAACTGGACTGTGTTCAGGGCAGAAAATTGCAGTATTTGTCAAATGCAGAAGAAAAAAATTATTCACTGCAGTGTCTGAGAAGAAACTGACATCAGGTTTCTCCTCTTTGCAACACCATTTGCACAAAAGTGATGCTAGAAATCCTACAGCCTGCTGGTGAGCCCCAAGGGGTCTCTCTGCCTCTTTTAAATGGAATCTAACTGCATCAGACTGGGATGGACACTGACTCAAATCTCATTAGGAAAAGGGATAGCTATAAATAAACAAAATTGCCTTCCTTGCTTGGGTTAATTCACCGCCTGCAGTTCAGCACCCTTTTGCCAGCCATTACCTGGGTGTTCAGCCAACCAACTTGGAAAATGACCTAAGGAAACAGAATTCTAGGTGTTCCCAGTTTTAGGCATCCTGCGATGCAAGAGAGCTTGCTCCTTTCTACGTAACAGAGCAGGAAACAAAGGAAAGGAGTCACCTATTTGGAGCTGAGCTAAGGCACTAATGATGCAGTAGGTGAGGAAAGAGGAAACACAGCGGGAGGACAACTTCCCAGCCACAGCGTCCCAGAAGATTGTTGTTCTCTTCACTTAATTCCCCTAAAAACCCAATGTTATAGAAAAGGAGGAGCTAATACATTATAGTATCCCTGTTGGGGTTTCAATGTAGGTTGTTTTTGTTGTTCTCCCAGAGAGATTTGTTTCAGATATCAAAGTCACACAAGCTGTTTCCAAAGTGGATTTTGGTGAATGCAGGCCTGAGCAGCTCTGGCTCATCACAGCTCTGTGTGGATGCCTGTTTTGTTGTTTTTCCCCACGATTTTCCATAAAATAAGAAGGCTGTCTTTACCACTTTTTGGCATAATACTGAGATAAACCACCCAACTGTGCTGACCCGACGGGTGCAGTCTCTCCCTGTGCACAGCAGAGGCGTTCCTGTCGTCATCACAGCTTGATAAAGATTGATGATGACTGGCTCGTCTTCTGCCTGCTGTCGCTGATGGGGAAAACGCTAGAGATGGCTACATCCACAATTCCTTGGCAGAGCTCTGCATACAGCTTCCTAAGAGATGAGAGAGAATCAGATGTCCAGGCAGGACCAAACCAGCAGGCTCCCCGAACAATTTTTACATAGACACGTACTTTCCCAGCAGGATCTACAAGATCTGCAAGATCCTGCTCCCATTACAGGTAGGTCCAGGGTGGCACACGGGAGGAGGGTGGCTCCCATTCCTGGATGGGACCACAAAACCCATTATCTAAATTTACGGTCAGAACAGGCTCCTGAACAGAATCTCCACACCCTCAGGCCACAGACTTGAGTCACCGCAAGATGCATGGAGGCAGACAACAGCCGAGCACCCCCTGTAACCCTCCTTCCATCTCAGGGAGTGGCGATTATCGCACCAGACCCCATTCATGTGGGGATGTGCCCGAGGGACTGCTCTGGTGCATAACCTCCCTGAACACGCTGGCATCCGGGACATTTTCAGTACCAAATCTGTCTTTACTAGGATTAACATCATCTTTCCTCCTGTGCAGTTGGAGCTACATGACATTAAAATGCTTTTTTCAGCTGTTACTGCCTTCAGTAACTGATTTTTGTCTTTTAAATGGGAATTGTGTGATATGGGTGCTACGTATCTGAATAATCCTGAAGAGGAGAAGCCTCAAATAGCCAAAAACCTACCTCAGCTGCTTTTGATGGCTTCCAAATGGCCACAGGCACAAAGCAAACAGGGCACTGCTGCAACCCAAATCCACCCAGCAACAGCCAAATTCTACCCATACAGCAACACAAGGAGCTGCGAGGCAGTACTGCACCTGAAAAGGCTACAGAATAGGCTGTCTGGTAGGTTTGTCCTGTATTTTTTTGTGTACTGTTAGTGATGATCTAATTTAATCTACGTCTAATCTAATCTACCTCTAATCAAATCAAAATCTAATGTAGTGATATACAGCCTGTTCGGTTTTGCTGGGCTTGGACACGATACAGATGCCCATTTAGCAAAGATTTCTAGTCTCCCACAGCCATCTCAATCACATAATGCAGCACCTCCTGCTGTGCCTACGCAGAGATGTTCATGGCCACGGCTGTTTGGCTGTCCCAACCACCCTGTGGCTGGTGGAGGCTTTGATCCAATGTCTGCAGCATCCATAGTGTGCTCTGGCGTCCTGCTGCCTGCAAATTAGTCCCTCACTTCCAGCTGCTGCCTTTAATGCTACTCGTTCATCATGTATTGAGGCAAAGACCAGCCACCAGTGTCTCCACAGGAGAGACTGGGAAACCACCCAAAGCATTAATTCTGCAACATAACTTCAACTCAATAGTGTCAATAAAAATTACCCAAGTCATATTCAGACCCAAGCATCCAAAACCTGAGGTTAGAGCCCCACCTCACTTGGGAAAGAAGCTGGGAGTTACCAATCACAGACAGGAGCAACAAACTTAACTGGCACCTGGAGGAGTGTCTGGTACGGGTTAGCCTGGAAAGCTCCCCTGCCATTCCCTTTCTTCCACCTTTTTCACTTGTAGCTGGGACACAAGCCATGTTTTGGGTGAGGCATGTGACTGGTGACATCCCAAGGGTATTACAGAAACAAATTACTCACTGGGCACACGCTGGGGCCCCGTTGACTTCTATCAGCCAGACCTTCAGCTCCTCATCCACCATGAAGTCAAAGCCAAAGAGCTGGAAGCTCTGGTAGTGAAGATGCTTCGTGCTGATTGCAGGCTCTATACACATAAGGCAGCTTCTGTGAAGGGAAAAACAGAAACCCAAGATTAAAAGCCCTGCAGACACGTGTGTTGCACTGCAGCCTCTGAAGGCATGTGTATAGCACAGTTAAGTGGAGGGGTCCCCCACTGCCCTGGGACTGCCCCAAATTATGAGCTATATCCAACACACATCACGGTGACCAGGTCCCTGCAAGCAAGATCATGCAACCATCAGCACACATGTGGGGACACCCCTGACTTAACTCCCAAAGAGCTGGAGAGCAGCATCTACCCTCAGCTAGGCAAGCTGAAAAACACGATGTGTGATTAGAGCCTGGAGTAGGGCAGAGCAACAAAGGGCCGCACCAGGTCCCCAAGGAACTGCCAGTGAGAGCTCATTTGCCTCCAAGTCCCTCAAAGATCGTGTCATAACAAAGATCATGTCAAGTAACAGCAATAGGGAACTTGCAAAGTAAATTCTGCCATGAAGGATCGCTTTGTCAAGACCTGGATTCTCCGCGGCACCGCGATCTCCAAGATCTGTCTCCAGGCACCTCCTGTGCCCAGGAGGTAGCTGGCTCTGCATGGACTAAGACAACCCATGCCAAGGAGATACACCGCTGCTTGCTGACGGTGGGAGAAGCAGTGAGATCCTGCAGGCTTCATTTCCCCTCTTCCACCTTGGACCTTTTTTAACCTCAGCCTCTCTCAGCCCTGTCTTTTGACCTACCCTCTTCTCCCTTACCAAGTGATCTCACTCCATCCTCCAGCCACAGCTGGCAAGACGCAGACCCACTGACACATACCATGAGAGAACGGCACCTCTAGAGGTCCCTTCTCATTGAGCAATGACATTGGGGTGTTTATGGCTTTATCTTAAATTTATGCAATTGAAATGCTTCCCTTGTCGGTCTGTCTGCCTCCCCAGCTGCATCCATCCTCGTTCCCTGTCACCGAAGGGTCATGTTCCCCTCTGCAACAGGCAGCTGGCTACCTTATTATGTGTTTGATTTGCAGTAAGATACTGTTCTCAAGCGTTGTGTTCAGGGCATCCATCAGATACTGATTGAACTCCTCAAAGAACATTTCGTTTCCTTCCTCATACCGCCCGTAGTTTTTGGAATACTCCTTCTGAATGCAGTGATTGGTCAAGTGGCAGGTTTTGTCCTGGAAATTAGCACTGTTATATGGTTCGGAAGAGGTCCGCAGGACACCCTCTCTGTAGAGGTAGATATTATATTGATGATCCACAAGAACCCAGCTCCTGCGGGCGAGAGAACAAACTCTAGTCTCAATGGCTTAAAATGAAACAGCAGGAAAATGAAAACTGGTATTATTACAAAAGCAGAAAAGGCTACCTGATGTCAAACTTGCGATGCCCTGGCTCTAAAAGCAGAGGCTTCTCCAGGTATTTCTGAATCACGTGCACTTGTCCCTGCTCATCAATGAAGTCCAGGAGCTCTGCAGCCTCTGAAGAAATCAGGATCCCTTCCCCTGGCACAGAAAGACAAAGACAAAATTAGTTGAAGGGTCCTCCTACCTTTGCTGGAACTTTTCCAGGGCCTAAGTGGACCATGGCTCATCTGCCCAAAAAGCCACATGACATGCAAGAACAGGGGTTTTCGCAGTTTGTTTATGAGATTTTTCTTTTTTTTCTTTATTTCAGTTTGGTGAGGTAGGTTTGTGGGTTTTTTTATCCTGGACTCAGACTTTCTCACTCTGCCTGGCTTCCCTGGCTGCCACACAGGCACACTTGCGCAGTGCTGCCCTGCTCACTGAGTTCATTTCAATTACTATTAAAATAATTGCTGAACTAGGAAAAAAAAAAAAATTTCAAAATGTTCATCCATGTTAGTCTGTGTTTTTCCCTCCTGTGGAAGCTCTTCATTAAAGAAGTTAGATGTTCTGCTTAAATACTGCCACATTTTGGCTGAAGCTGCCACTGTTCATTTCTTGCAGGAGTCCAAATATGAAACCACTGTTGCAAAGCAATGAAGAGAGAGTCCTTCTGGGATTTGATAAAGGGATGTCACAGTGCCACATGAGACGTAAACCAGCTCAGGTAAAATTATCTAACATTTCTCTGGCATTATGTCCAGTTTTCAGGCATTTAAGTTAACTTTTTGGATTAAAGCTGATGGCTTAGTCTTAATTTTGGATTTTGGAGGAAATACCGAGTGAAAAGAAACAAACACTCCTCAAGAGGGCATGGGGTGGGGCACAGAGAACACAGGTTTGGGGCACAGGCAGGATTTGACAGGATCCTCCAATGGAAAATGCTCCTAGCTGTGACTTCTGCAGGTCGCCTCTGACACAGCCCTGCAGGTATTTTCACTGCTCCATGCTTTGCATACCTGCAAATTTTTATTTCCCTGAGCGCAGCAGAGCCAGGCAGTAACTCGCATTGGTACAACCACAGGCTGTGCGCTGGAGGAAGGAGGGAAATGTCTCTTTGAGCCAGTAGAGCCCCTGCAGTGGGAAGAGCAGCAGGCTCCCGTTCTGCACTGGAGAGACCGTGAATCAAGGGTGAGGTCAGCTTAACTGTGCACCTAGTCAGCAACCCTGTGAGGCAGCAAAGCAGCTTATGAGGGGCAGCTGTCCCTTCTCTCGAAGAAAACATCAAAACCTCTAGCCACAGTTGAAAAACCTCACAACTTTTAAGTGAAGACATCCTAAACCTTTAATTTTCCTTTTACTGATGAACAACCAAACTTCCACTAGATCTGTCCCGAGTCAGGGACTGTGCCTGAGCTGGATCTGCCTTGGCAATGAATGTCGACAAGCCGCCTTCTCCAACAGAACTAATCCCCAGACATTTAAAACTTCCCTCTAGAAGATTAACACGAGGCTCTGTTTTCCAATTTAATTCCCAGCTTGAGGTCTGCAGCACACTGATGAATACAAAAGGTTACTCTGCTTTAATGCAGAAAATATAGGATCACACTTGAGTTAACTACATGGAGAGTTTAAACCTCCCCATCCTGCAGCGAACAACAACAACAGCCTTTTCAACTGTCCAGACTGATTCTCTGCCAGACAGTTGCACCACACAGAAACACATTCCCTCCCTGCCATAACAAAAGGACTCATCTCCCCTTCCACCCTGATTAAAATAAGCATCCTCTTCTGATGCTTCTCGGTAACACAGCCAACAGAGCAGAGCGGTGAAGGAAGACTTTTATCATGCGGCCTCCCTGCAACCACCACTGGCTTTTGCATTCCCCTGGTGATTTTTGTAAGACTGCATCAAAAATGACTCTGCAAGTAAGAGTAATCCACGTGGGCTCAATCCCTTTGAAAAGGCCAGGTCCTTCCTTGGGCTGGGCTCTGCCGCCTGGGGTCTGCACACATGGCAAAGGAAGTTTTCATAAAGCCACTCTGACAACGTGCCTGTGATACTGCTGTAACCGACAGACAGCACATCGTTACCAAAGCACAACATCTATCGCCGTGTCCAGCTATCTTGTCTAACAGCTCATTATTTCTGTAGAGTGAGCGATGCAGTGACCCTGGAACAAGGAAGGACACATTATTGCTTGGATATCTGTAGCCTCCTTCAAATTAAGGGGACATACAGACATTGTGTTGCTTGTCCTTGCTCTGGTACCTCCCTCTGAGGCTCGAGTGTCATTTCAATACCTTGAGCTCGTGGCTGCTCAGCCAGTCTCAGTGTGACCGTGGGCAGGCCACTGGCACCAGGCATCTGAGTTCAGCAGCGGTATTTCTGCCCAGATGAGACCAGGCTGAGCTTGCCCTTGAAGAAGCCCTGCCTGTGGCCCTCCTCCCCATACCCTGTTCTGCTCTCTGTTATCTTCTGCTCTCCACATTCCCCTTGCCTGCTGGTCCCTCCTGCCTTCTCCCCGCAGCAAACTCTCCCATATTTTGAGGTGCATGTGTAGAAAAGTGGACATCCTTTCACTGCCATGTCTTCTTAGGTAGTGTGTGCACGTTACAGTGCTTGTCAGGAGCCCCATGCCACCAAGCAGACCGAGGAGAGCCCTATGCTGGCTTGACTGGCATGCAGTTGGTAGGTAAGCCCTTCCCAGACAGGCTAGATATCAGCTGGGCTCAGCCAAACCCTGGGATTCTACTCGTCAAGTAAAGAATAAGAAATAACAAGAAGGAGGCTTGTTCTGATGGAGAATGAACCTTTGGCACCAGCTGAAGACTTGGCGATCCAGACGTTGCCTTCTTTGCCTTCCCGCCGCTTGTTGTAAGCTGCCAAGAAGACTTCCCGCTCATCTGTCCTTGTGTTGTTTATGAGATGGCGAATTCCGTTCTGTGCTGCTGGAGCCATGGGGGTCTTCAAGTTTGTTGGGTAAATCACATATGACTCAGGGAACCACGTGCAGGATTCCGACAGGTCAGGGCTTGTCTTGATTAGCCTGGGTGAAGAGAGAAAGGCTGTTAATCTCCAGAGTGTCTCCACCAGCATGGACATCAATTAATAAGTAAAACTCATCATTAACTAGGCTCTTTCGCTTGGTGATGAATAGCAGCTTACAGATAGTCTGTGCTAAATTATTATATCTTCCTTGAAATTAGGGTCTCCCTAAAGATATCATGGCAACCCCAACATGCAGCCAAACACTGCTCTTTGAACCAGACCTGCACACTCTCACGAAACGTTTTGTAGATACTATTGATATTGTGAAGCAATCAGTTGAGAAGTTTCCACGTAACCAGAGCTCACGGTGTACCCCTTGCATTGTCTCTGCACCAGGGAACTGCGGCGGCATGTTTGCTAACACAGAACAGGGCAGGAAAGATGCTGTGACCACAACAGGCAAAAAAAACTGCAGAGCAGTCATGTTCTCTGTGCCGGTGCTTAGCTTTTGATCCCATACCCTCTGAAATCTGACAAGGTGTCCCAGTTGGGTGTGGATGAAGATCACTGGCAACCCACTGAAAGCCAGGACACAGCTCCACATTTCAAGTCCCACAATATCTGGGATCCCCCTTGCATCGCGCAGCCTCCGATCTCTCTGGCACATCTCTTCTACCGGTAATGTCTAGAGATGCCAGTGTGCTCCCTGCCTCCAACCTCACCTTTATCTCCCACAGCCCTGTTCAAGAGATAACCACCGCTGGTGGCCATCATCGATGCGTCTGGTCGCAACGGCTGCATCCAGCTCCAAGTTGGCAGGGGAGACACACAGCGACACAACAGCCAAGGACTGTCTCGCCCATCTTGCTCTAAAAGTGGAGGGCTCGCTGGACACACACTAACCAAAATACAGCCAGTATGTAAATATGACTATAAGTCAATCATCTTACTCCATAAATAGTGGACAGCCTGTGGAGCTCTCCTGCACGGCAGCGGGCTGCATGCCAGGATCTCCCCTTGAGTAGGGACGCCTCTCCAGGTTACTCCCCAAGAGTTTTGAGAGTTCCTTGCCGCAACAGATTCTCAGTAAATTACTAACAGCATGCTGAAGTATGAAATCTTAGCCAAGTGATGTAAAGGATTGATTGCGCACATATAATCCTTTAGACATAAACTGCTGACCAAGTCTGGGACTAGGATAGGATCCAGCTGCTCCTAGGCTCCTCCCTGAGAAGGAGTTTAGAGAGCAAGGGGGTCCTTTCTGAACCGCATGACTCAACAGGAGGGTCTCCCTGACAGTTTTGTCTCACTCTGTCCTCTATGCAGTAAATAATCAAGTGTACCTCGCCATCAAATCCTGTTAAATCCATGTTGCATTAACCTTTGAATTTTGTTAATTTACTTTTTGATATAAATACATTGCTGCTTCTCTCACGTGAGTGAAGTGCATAACTAACTGACTCCTTGTGAGACAGGCAGCAAACTCCTGTTAGAAGAGCCCAGGCCCATTTTCTTTCAGAGGGAAGGGAGCTGCCTGCCGCTCTGAATGCTCACTCTGTGCTTTGCTTAAAGCCCAAAGCAGAGCTCACGTCTCACCGACTCTCTCTGTGCATTTGCATCTCTGTTGAAATGGCAGTCAGTGACACTCCGGGAGCCCCCTGGGTTCATAAGTAGCTTGATGCCTAGTTGACGCCGCAGTTAGAAAGGTCAGCCAAGCTTCAGGAGAGACAGAGGTGTGCCAGCACTTTCAGCACTGCCTCTAGACCACGGGCCACAGAGAAATCCAGCTGGGGAGTGCTGTGAGTGCTTGTTTCAAAAATACTCTGCTAATTCCTGACAAACACCGCCCCCGCTGTAAAGAAAGCCATTGAGACCAGGTTTTTCACAGCAGAGGAGAGGCCTCGGATCAGCACACACAGTCTGCAGGACTACATCAGCAAGAGGCTGCACAGACGTGGAATCAAACGCTTGAAGGAGAGCAAGAGCTCTGATGTGAAGATGCCCTAATGGCCACAGAGTTTGCACAGGGATGAGGGTTATCTACAATGAAAGCTCATCTGCATTTCCCCAGGAGACCCCAGCACAGCTGCTCATGCAGAAATAACTCCCAGAGCTCTTCCTGGAGATGTCTCCAAGCATTTGTTTGACCAAAAAAATCTGATTAGCTAAAGGCATATTAGTGTCTCATCTCTGTATGAAACAGAATAAAAGGAGAGGTTTTAATTAAATGTCTACAAGGAAAAAGAGCAGATATGTGGTTTGTTTTTTTTTTCTTTTGATTTGGCTCTAATCTGATTCAATACACTCTATGGTTTCAGGCAGATGTAATTCAGCGGAAACAGCATTTCCCCTGAAGTTACAAAGAGGCCTTTGTGCACACAGTTAGCTCTAGAGACCAGCACAGGGGTCTGAAGACGGCACATACTAGGACACTCCCAGGGCAGCTGTTCTGCGAAATACCCTCCAAACAGGTTCAACACTCAACAACTGTTAAAGAAAAATTTCTGTTGATCCCATGTAACATTTCAGTGAATTTCTTACTTCACCAGAGATGCTTTGCGGCACAGCTTGTCTGCTCCCCTGTAGTAGTTCACCAGCTGCACAAGTCCAGGTTCATGGCCTAAAAAGGGGAAACAAAGAGGTTAGACAAACTTCTCAATTAACAAAAGAAAAATATCTGCTTGGTGCAAAGGACCTGTGCAGTAGGGAAGAGTAAAGAGGCTGTTTCCTTGTCCTACATCTAAGCTAAACAGGCTCTAAGCTCCGACCACTTCTTTTTTTAGTTATGAAAAACTATGCATTTACCCAGATCTGTTTGGAATCTCTCCATTCTCCAAAGGAAAAATAATCATTTGCTAATTCACACTGTGAACACCACCCAAAAATGTTCTCTGTTTGCTGGTGGCAGTTTTTAAAAGGCAGGATTCCAGTTACTCTGAAATGCAGCAGGAGAACGCAGGGAAGCACAACATGACACGAAGCTCACGGTTTAGGAAAGGGCCTCGTTTCTTCATCCTGTACAGCAGAATTCCCTGTCAGACCTGATACCGCAAAACACTGGGAAAGACTGAAAGATCTGGAGCCTTGCTTGCTCTGGTGGATTGCAGCAAGCGCCCTTGGATAGCTGGGCTGGGAAAGGACCAGTGCAGCCCAATATGGGGGTGGAAGAGGCGAGTGATACCTGGGGCGGTGCCTGGGTAAATAGTGACAACAACTGGTAAGAGCATCAATAGGGAAAACATGATGGAAAACTGCTCTGGTTTGAAATGACCCAGGATCAGAGGGATCCCCCAAGCATCGGCAGTTACTTCCACTCCTTCTCTTTTCAAAAAAAAAAAAAAAAAAAAAAAAAGCTTGTGGGAGTGATTTAGACCCTGAAAATGATTCAGAACTTTAAATTTTAGTTATCCTCCCTGATGTTTGCCTGGGAAAAAAAGGTCTGCAAAAAACGTTACCTTAAAGACCAGGCAGCTGTGAGATCACAGAGGGTGAATATCTGTTTTAGCCCCAAAAATCACAATTTTTCCCCAAATCTTTAAATACAAGATAGCTGAAAACCATCTTCTAGAAAAGTTCTGTAACTCCAGGCACTTCGATGTGTAGCCAGCACTGCCAGGCACTAATTTACTGAAATAAATTAGTAAAAACCATCAAATTTCCTTCTGTTTCCAGGTTATCGATTTTGCTTGGTTGCTGGAGGAACTGAGGTCCAGAAGGAAATCCCACCACTCTGGGTGGCTCTGCCCCAACAGTCTGGTGGTCAGCAAGGAGGAACCATGAGGTGGGAAGGGGAACGGGTTCTTGGGCATGTTGTGAGGTCTGCACTGTGCATTTAGCAGGGTTAAAAAGCTGCCATGGCACTGAGCAGACTGGTGATCCTCCCGCGTCCAGCATCCTCTGCTCCTGCTACAGGATGGGTTCAAGAAGCCAGTGCCAAAGCACGGTCCCTCTCCATGGGTCACAGATAGGTCCTGGCTGTGAAAAATGATTTGAATTTTTGGGCATCCCATGGCAGCACATGCTAAAGGGCTCACTGAAGCCCTTCTGTCACCTCAGGGCTCTTTTTGAGGACAGAAGGGGTTAGTAAGAGATGGTCATGAGTTCATCATGGCTCACTCTGCCCGGCTACAGTGAAGGCTCTCCCGGTATTTCCCTGCCTGCTGCAGACACCCCGCTGCTGAGAGGTGACCAGATGGCATCACCATGGGATGAGGACTTTCCACTCGCAAACACACGTGGACACAAGGGAAGAGGTGTGGGAGCTGGCGACTTCCAAATCTGAAAGAGCAGTCAGCACTGGGTCTCAGCTGCGAGAAAGGGGTTGCAAAAGCTGTCCTGCTCCAGAGCTGCTGGGACAAGGGTGCTCCTCCTGCTCCGAGGTGCTGGGAGCCAGAAGCAGTGCTGCAACGTTGCCCCAAGGATGAAACCAGGGCCAAGGGCAGGGAGGCAGGCCAGGAGGGTCCTGCTAGCCATCAGGTGCAGACACGGGGGACTGCAGAAGGGAAACACATAGCTCTGCTGGGGTTTGCAGCGTCCTCATCCCACAGCTGCTCCGACAGTCGTGGTGACAGGATCCAGTACAGCAGCTGGCACCATGCATGGACTCCTGCCAGCCTTGCAGCTCCTGCCAGCTCGCCCCCAGCCACCAGGCAATGACGGTGCATCTCTGCTCCCCGCCGCGCCCTACACCGCTGCCAGTGCCTGGCTGGGCTCTCCCTGCTCGCCGGCAGTGCACGGCACTCCTCCTCCCTGCTCTTGGGCTCTTCCTTCTCAGGCATGATGGAGGGCTGGGCTGGCTGTGGTGACAGCCCTGCCACGGGGACAGGCAGCGTGCATGGCAGGCAGGGGACAAGCCTGATCAGGGAAGCTCCCAGGGTCCTGTGTGTTCACAGTGAGACGGAGGGGGGATAAGACAGCAGGGGGAAAGGTGGGATGGTGGTCTAGCTCTACAGACACACAGAGCCTCTGGAATAACCCTCGCGCTGCTCCAAGCAGGGACCAGATATGCTCGCACCAAGCCCCTGCAGAGGCATGTCCTCACCAGCCTCAGCTCTGGGGCTCAAGGGTTTGAGCGTGCTGGGCTCAGAGCCATTCCCCCACCTGTCCCAAACTGCAGAAACACTCCCATCACACGTCAGTTCAGCACTGCAATATCCCTGCCCCC